ATTCCCGGCGTGCCCCGCGGCCGCCCGGCGCTCCCAGCGTCGCGGCGGACTACAACTCCCGGCGTGCACGGCGGTTTCGCCTCAGCCGCCCCTGCCCCGCAGCGCTTGGCGTTCCCCGCCGGTGCCTTCAGAGAGCGGGTTAAAAACACAGTAACTGCTGAGATAACCCTCACCAAACCCTGCGTAGCACGTGATGAGAAAAGTGTGATGGCAGGGGAAAAAAAACCAAACAAAAAACCAAAGAACCAAAAAAACAACGTGTCCCTGAGGGGCAGCTCATGCTCTGATCACACCTGCAGGGACAGAGGAACTGGACAGAGGGTTCTCGCGTCCGCTGCAAGGAGGGTGTGGGAAATACAGCAGAGTTGGGTGCGCCTTCCACTGAAATGCAGTGAAATGAAACCTGAAAAAGGAAAAAGTGATGCTGCTGCCTTCAGACTGAGAACAGTCAATGACAAATAGGAGATGAAACCCAAATATGTCTGGAGTTGTCTGATGCCTCAGAAACCAAAGTTATGTATTTTACAGAACCACAGAATCAACTAGGCTAAAAAAGACCTTTGATATCATCGAGTCTGGCCTAAGACCTAACATCACCTTGTCAACTAGACCATGGCACTAAGTGCCATGTCCAGTCTTTCCTTAAACACCTCCACCGACGGTGACTCCACCACCTCCCTGGGCAGCCCATTCCAATGCCCAATCACCCTTTCTCCAAAGAACAATATTTATACAGTGGAAACTCCCTATAACTATTACTTTTAATGATAAATATATGCTGCATACATGAAAAAGCACCCCTTGACCTGACAATTTGTATGTGGTTTATTTTACCAGTACAGTACTTCTGCAGCATGTGGGGGAACAGCATTCTGTACTGCTGTTCTTAATAACAGCAACACATTTTTCAGAAGGACTCCTCATACAAAGTAATTGTATACAAGTGTGGAACAACAACTTCAGCCCAGTTGTCAGGCAGAAATTTCCTTGCTTAGAGGGTACTGCAGTGATTGAAAACACTGGCTCTACGTGGCAGATTTGGTATCACAGCATCAGACTGTGTTGACTCTAACAGTAAAAATATTGGAGGAAATCATGTCATCAGGACTACTGCAATCATTAGAGGATCATGTCTGGTGAAATGGAGCATGCAAATAAAGCTGACAGATCTAATTTAGCTCCTGAATCAGGAATTACAAGATTCTTCTAGTTCCGCAAGTCAGAAATAGCCTGGATGTTACTCAACAGTGATTTTTTAAATTTCTTCAGAAAAAAACCTTCTCCTTTTCCCTACTTCATTATGTTGTTTTCATATGTTACTTATAGACATTGTTTACTTAACTATTGTCAATGCCCACATTGATTTAATCACACACAGATGTGAGCTTCTGGGACTGCACTGAGGTTAAACTGGAGATTAATCCTTCAGTGCAAAATCTGAGGAGTGCCAATAGAGGTCAACAATTGTAAACATATGTTATACGTACATATATATATAAATATATATATCCTTTTGCTGAACAGTAGCAGAATTTGGAATCTCACAGACCTGATTGCTGTTTGGGGAAGATTTGGATGACAAAGTTAGTTACTGACTCTTTAAGCATAAAGAGCACATTGCAGAGAAGGAAGAATTGGAAATTATTGGTAGAAGCCAGACAATTTCATGTTAGGAATAAGAGGCTATTTTTATCAGGGCAGTGCCTGTGTCCCTAGGGAAGTAGAGACCTCCTTTGGAAGGTGCACTGGAATAGCTCACTGGTTTCTGGGATCAATTCAGGTGTGGTATTCCACAGCTCACAACATGCAGTTTGGACTAGACAGTCCCCTCTGGCTTTAAATGTTTGAGTGCACTTAGGACCTGATCCTTTGGGTGTTGTTTCTGCATGGTAATTTTAGCACTTCCTCCTGGGAATTTCAGCATGTTCAGCAGGTAACATCTACTCTGCAATTCCTCCACAATGTACCAGAACAAGGGGGGTTACTGGGCAGCTGAGTCATGTTGTCTCATTTTGGTGAGGAGACAACTAACTGGTGCTCAGGAAGAGTTTGGGAAAGGCCCAGGAAAGAACCAGCCCCAAAACTTATTACAGCCTGTGGGTGCTTTAGACACACAGTGTTCTTACAGTGGATACAAACTCAGCATGGTTGAATCATACTGGACTTTATACAGTTAAAGGACTGGTTCTTTGTACTGTCAGTGCCATGTGGAAACTTTGACTCTTGGCTGGATGCTGGCACAGTCCTGAGAGCCACATAGCAAACCAAGAGCTGATATTTGCATGGTTGCCTTCATGATCCCCACGGCATTCCAGCCATTTTGAACACAGAAGGAAAATACTCTTCAGAAGCAGAACTTTTGCCTGGTTTTCTGTTGTGCTGAGCAGCAGATAGGTGGTGTCCTGTTCGGATAATAAATGCAACCCATGGATCTGGTAAACCGGATTTTTTCTGATTTCCACTTGTCACAAGGGCAGGCAGCAACTGCCACCTTTGAAGTTCCCATGTTTGTTTGGGGTAAACAGAGCATTTGTTTATTGGTGTGACGCAGTTCCCAGATGGAGCTGCACCCTACAGCATCACAGGAATTTGGTTTAATGCTTTTTAAAAAATACATCTTTTGGCACCTCTATTATTAGTAGTTGTTGGTAATCTGGCAATAGCATCTTTGCTTTAGAAATGCAGCCTGATTATAAGAACCTCAAATCCTACTTGTCATCAATCACTTGTCATCCAATCCCACTTGTCACCTGGGGGAAAATGTGTAAGTTATCAAATCCATCAGTCCATCTGAACATGCTGCACATGGAGAACACACAGAATAAACCGGGATGGAACTGTCAGCCTCCAGCACTGTGGTCACGAGCTTCTCCTGCCTGAAGGGAAAATCTCTCACTAGCCGAAGGTGTCCTGTGACAGTAACTGAGCCATTCTCTTCTAGACAGTAGGAAGCAGCAAGAAGAACATCCAGAAGCATGTTATTGGCCTTATTTTAATGGGAAGAGATGCCTAGAGTGTACAGGGAGACAACAAAGCCTTGTCAACAGTCTGTAGTGCAGGACACAGCAGAGGCCAGAAAGCCTCTACTGGCTCATTCTTGCCTTTCATGATAACACTCCTAGAAAGATCTCCCATTGTAAAGGCCTCTACAGTGTTTCAGTGCAGGTGCCTCCCAGCACAGGACAGAGCTGTGACAGGGATTACACACAAGGGAGCTCATTGTGTGTCAGGAACTCAGGATATTACACTTGTCATGGAGTGTTTATTTTAGCAAATGCGCATGTGGCAGACGTGGGCAGTTAAAGAAATGTGGGAGTGTTTCTGCTGCCAGGAGGTGTGTGCAAGGTCAGGTATGGAAGTCTTTATTCCTGCCCAAGGGCATTTGCAATGCAGTCCCTGGAGTCTCAGTATGGAGCTCCCCCTCCGGAGGCTGGTGGGCAGACCATAAAACGAGCTATCCTTGGTGCAGAGCCTGCTGAAGGCCCAGGGTGAGGGAAGACAGACACCTGTAGAATGGCAGCCACAGCACAGCTCCGAGGGAAAACTGGGGGAGATGTGGACAGTAATGCCAGGTGACCATTTTGAGAGGGGAAAATGGATGTGGGTTTTCCTTTCAGCATTTACTGCCTGGCTTCTGAAGGAAGTCTGTCCTCTGCAATCACCTTGTCTGCCCATCTGATCCTTCCTTTAGTGCCTCTGGAACTCACTGACCAATTTCAACCAAGCATGAGCAAGACATAGAGATTTCAGAGATAATGACTATCCCTTAAATTAAACAGAGTGTCAAAGGAAGGAAGTGCCGCTCTATAAAATATAGGTAGATCCCAGCTCTGTTACACATAACTTACTTAGCAGCAGCCAGTTCTCCACTAGGGATGTGTGCACTGCTGACCCCTCAACAATACCAACAGCTCCAAAGAATGCAAATATTCAGGGAGGAAGGAAAGGCTTCACTAGATTCCTTGTTCAAAAAACAAAGTTGTTGATTTCCCTTCTGAATTTCTCAATCATGTGATTCTAACCAAAGGCTGGATAAGATAACAGCTCTGAAAAGAGACCAAAGAGAACAAAATGTCCATGGACACACTGTTCCAGGTTTAAGTACTAATTTTAAGCCTTCCATGATATTTTTAAATAGGAACCTGGTTTGAACTCTACCATTTCACATTTGGAAACATATTTTTACTCAAAACCACCCTGTTTTGCTGTTCACAGTACAGGTTATTTGTTTTAATTGCACTGGGGTTGCAGGCAAAGGCATCTCACATTCAGCTTCCCAGCTGAACACCCTTCCCTACCCTGCAACATGGAATGGTTTGGGTTGGAGGGGACCTTTAGAGGTCATCAGGTCCAACCCCACTGCCACAAGCAGGGACACCTTCAACCAGATCAGGTTGCTCAGAACCCCATCCAACCGTACCTTGACTGTTTCCAGGGATGGGGAATCCACCAGCTCTCTGGGCAACCTGTGACAGTGTTCTACCACCCTCACTGTAAAAAAATTCTTCCTTATATGTAAAAATATTCTTCCTTATATCCTTATATATATATATATATTCTTCCTTATATTATATTCCACCCTCTTCCAGTTTAAAGCCATTATCCCTTTCCTATTGCCACAGGCCCTGCTAAAAAGCTTGTCCCATCTTATAGGCCCATTTCAAGTACTGAAAGGCTGCAATGTGGTCTCCCCGGAGCCTTCTTTTCTCCAGGTTGAACAACCCCAGCTCTGCCAGCCCTTCCTCATGGGAGAGTTGCTCCATCCTTCCAATTATCTCAGCACTCCATCGGACCTCCAGCCAGCCCATGATTTCATGCCCTGTTCTCCAAGCCCCCAGCACAGCGCACCCTGCCAACAGCCTTGCCTCCCAGCGCCCCACGCCGATGTGGCAGGGAAGCCCTGACCCTTCCCAAGGACACGGCTCTCCCTAGAGAATCCCCTCCTGGGAGCGGCCTCCCAGCAGTACCCGCCCCGCGGCATCGCCCCCCGCCCGCCGTACCTGCTCCTCCCGGCAGCCAGGGGGCGCCGTGGCAGAGGAGCGGCCGCGACGCTCCCCGGCCCGGGAGTCTGTGGCCTGGGCTGGGCGGAGCTGTTGAGCATGCGCGGGGCTGGCGGGGGGGCGGTCCAGGCCTTAGGGAGTTGGTGGCGGCGGGACTTGAGGGCGGCCATGAACGTGTTCGGGGCTGCGGCACCACTCCCGGGCTCGTCGGCCGCGGTGGGGGCCCGGCACGGCGACGGCCTGGAGAAGATCGACATGTCGTTGGGTGAGGAGCGGGGCTGGGCCCGCCGCTGCGGGGGACGGGGCTCGGGCTGAACCAAGTGCCGGGGCCGCGGGGGGGCGGAATGAACCATCGGGCTGTGCCGGGCACCGGCGCGGGAGGAACCAACGGGGGCGGGCGGGGGGGACAGGACCCTTCCACAGCGGGAGCGGCGGGGGGCGAGACCCGTCTGTGTCTCCGGGAGCAGCGCTGCTCCCTGACCCGGGGATCGCACTCCCTGGCTGGGGGAGAGCCGGGACCCCTTTGTGCCGCCTGAGTGTCCGAGCAGGCTGCAGACCAGGGCTTTGCGGGCTTTTGGCCTGGTGAGGCCCTCAGTCCCCGGGCCCTTGGCTGGGTGGCCCTCGGGGAGCGTCCCAGGGCCTCGCCTGGCGCTCGTAGCTGTAGAGACGGGTGAGGTTTGGTTGTCTCTCAGCTGGCCTTGCCCTTTTATTCTTCTCAGGTCTGTAAGTCGGCAATGGCAAGTCTCGCGTGTATCCCCTTTGCAGTTCAGTATCAGTCACATCCAGCGTGACGTCGCCTCGACCGTGTAGTTTCCTGACAGTCCGCCCCGTTCTCCTCTGCCCTCCCATGGCAGGAGGGGGGTGTGTTAGGAAGGTGCCCAGGCTCATTACAGACCTGCAGGGCTGTGTCTCTCCGGCACGTCTGAGAAACTGTCATCCACGCTATAGGTATTTCAGTGAGGTATCTCAGAGTAGTTCTGTTCTGCTGCTTTGTACTGAGTTCCCTTAACAGTCGGGACAATCTGGTTCATTTCTGGAGTGCATTTTCCAGTTTAGTTTTATTAAAAAAAAAAAACACCTAAAAAATTTGGTTTGTACACTCCAAGACTGCTCTGTGATGCTACCAGAGTGTGATAGGTTGGTGCTATCAGGAGATGTTCTTCAAAAAGAAGAATCACAATGTGAACTGGAATTATTAATGGCAGACTTGGCCTTTGTGGACCACCATAAAATAAGAGGATTTTATGGTTTTTCCTTCTGTAAATAATCCAGTGGAATTCTTTGCTTTGGCAATGAAGATAACTTGTGAAATGACATTTAGAGTTTGTCTGAATGTGGAGTAGCTTTAGAGCACTGGTAGAAAACTATATACCTGTGTTTATTTATAGCACACAGTCTTTGTTTGCAGGGTTACTGAGGTAAATAGTTATTGATTCTGAGTGGCTTGTTGTATTTTCATACCTTCTAATGCTAACCTGGCCAAGTCACTGCTACATTCCTGGCCATTGACTAATAGGAGATTGCAGAGGACTGTTGTAGTGCCATGAAGATGTTTGCTTAAGGTGGTGGCGTGAGCAGGTGTAAACGGTGTCATCCCTGGCTACTGTCCTCAAGTCAAAGCTCCTTGGTCTGGTGTAAACAAAGAGCAGATGCAGTCCCACATCTGTCCAGATAGCAAAGGAACTGACACGACCTTAATCGAGGAAATCTTAAGATTGAGATCTCAAAGTTGACTAAATTCTCATGTAACAAAGATTAATTGTATTTTTGTTGTGTTATGTGCAGCTCATCTGAAGCTGAGCTTCCAGTTTGATACTGTTCCCAGATGATTCTGCTGTTCCAGCTGTAGGTGTGATCTCTGATCTCAGGCAAGATAGGAGAGTGCTTCAGTGTGTCTCCACTAACAAATGCACAGAGTCCCAAATGTCCTTCATTTCCACAAATAAGAGAGTAACTGAAACTTAAGTCCTTTTGTTAAAAACTTGTAACCCTGTGTGCAGCAATATCTGACTTGCGAAAATGGGGTTTAAGATGAAGCAAAAGCCTATGTTCTCTGAACATGGTGGTTTGTGTCACAGGTCCATAGGAGTGGAAGCAGCCGTTGTGTGGAATTACATGTTCTGCTCTAACAGCTTTGGAAGTTTTAGTTTTTGTTGACCATCACTTTATTTGTGGTGCTACATTCCAATAACGCTCCTGGCTGAGTACTAATCCTTGCTCTAGGGATAACCCCTTTGGTGAAGAAGATTCTATAGATGTCTGACACTGGGTGACCTGCATCAATATTCATTGTCCTGATAGATTTACCTGAATATTCAATCACAGTTGCAGCAAATTAAGCTGATTTTTGTAGTTACGTTTTTTCGCGCTGTTTTCTCTCTTCTACCCCATCTGAGTCCATTTGAACTCAAATGTTATGGGGTTACTCTTACAAACAGAGTAACCCCATTCCCATCTCTCCTTGACTCAGAAAAGGTTGTCCACATGTTTGTGGAGGCTCCCTCTTGAAACGTGAAGTTTTTATCAGTTGTGCTCTCAGGATTGAGATGCAGCAAACACAGTTTGACAACTTCCTTTATGGTATTTTTGTGAACAAGATCACAGTCAGATAAAAGCTGCCACACACAGTTGGTTTACTCTTCTCTTTTGAGCTGCCTACCAGGTCAGTGAAGGAAATCAGACTGGTGTGGAATGATTTGTACTTGATAGACCTGCTGTTCATTTTTCATCAGCTTATTCCTTACACCTACTCTAGAACCGATTAATAATTTGTCCAACATTGTTTCCCTGGACAACAGATAAGATGGTTGCTTTGGATTGCAGGTACCTGGGGAGAGAAGTCTTGTTTTTTTCCCATCATCTCAGTTTCTGTGAACATCTGAGAGTAACTGGTGGCCCAAGTTGTTCTCTCTTTGTGATTTTTCTTAGGTAACTTTTAAAATCAAAGAACTAAGGCTGGAATTGACAATTTGTCTGGAATCTGCAAAGTCTGGGAGTGAGATGGGATTGCTTTTTTTTTTTTTTTAACAGTATACAAAAACTAATGGAGTCATTCAGTTTAAAATTTAATGCTGGACTGAATGTGATAATCTTACAAACCTCTTGAATTTTCTGGGTGTATGCAACTCCTTCCCTTTTTCTAAAGTGTTATAAAGTAAGTATTGTAAGACTAACAGGGACTGGAAGTTTACTGCAATAATGTTTCTAGAACCTTAACCTGTATGTGCTGCCTTTGCAAGATTGACTGGTCTGTTTTCCATGACTCCAGGCTGCTCAGGGGGTTTTATTCAGTACGTCAAATTTTATGCAGTGTGTCAAATTTTTATTTTTTTTTTTCTTTCTTCTTGCAGATGATATAATTAAGTTGAACAAGAAAGAAGAGAGAAAGCAATATTCTCCTAAAATAAAAAGAGGGCTTCAGCAGAATCAAACTCGACAGTTCGGTCCTCCAGGCTCCAAGTGGGGAATCCGACAGCAGAAGGGTGTGTATGCCCAACATAATGTGGATTGCACAGTGTCTTTTTTGAGCTGAAATGTAACCTAATGAAATGCATGGGTTTACATGGTCAGTTCAGGTGTCTTTCAAATAGTGTCATATACACTTTTGATTATGTTTCAGGTTTTTTTTCCTAATCTGTTTATATTTGATTTTGTTTCTGGTTCAGTGTGAGAAAGTGTTGGACATGTTTGGCCATCAGGGAGCTTGAAGGACTGTCTGACTCAAGGAGGGATTGGCTTTCTTTCTGATTCTTTAGATTTATTTTAATTTTGGAAATTGTGTTGATCCTTTGTCCCTTCTCAGAGATGGACAGAATGAGTGCTTATGCCAAAACCTGTGTAGTAGGAAACGTGGAGGCCTTGCCAGAACTCAGAGCTTTGTTAAAAAAAGACAGCATATTTATATTTGCTGACTAGAATTCTCTTTGTAGGCCTCCCCAAAATATCTGTTACTGCAGCCTGCAATGCTGGCTCTGGAATATATAAATGAACAGTGCAGAGTCTGAATTGGCTTTTCTTGGTATGAGCTTGGGATGCAAAGAAAGTACTGTGTCAGCCTTCTTAAGCCAGTGTTTTTACAATGGAATACAAAAAGGGGAAAAAATCATATAGGCAGGGAGTGAAGAGAGAAAAAGTACACAGTAACAGCTTTGCTGTCAGTTCCCCTGAGTAACTCAGGTGTTTTTTGATAGACAAGAGATATATTTTAGAATGTTCTCAGGCTTTAGTCAAGTACATGGCCAGCACCTGCTTGAAGTATAGTCTGGTTTTGCTTACAATTAATTTTGAGAAGTATGTTTTTAGCACTGGATGATCAAAATATGGAAAAATATTGGCTAATCAGGAAGCTTATCACCTCAGTAGAAGCTAGTTAGGTGCTTAGATTAAGACCTAATTTCTTGTTTAGTAGCATTCATTTAAAACAAAGACCCATCTGTCTGGTGTATGTGCAAAGGTCCCCATTTTTTCTCTGTCTTGCTTAGTGTTTGTTGTAGCAGCAGCTTGTCATTAATGTCTTAGACACAAATGTCTTTGGGCATCAGTGGACTGTCATGTTGTTCAGGGCTCAGGTTGTGTTACTGGTGCACCTCTAATAAATTGGTGACAGTGCAGGAAAAAATTTTACATCTCTCAGCCCAAGTGTGAGAATATTTGTGTGGGTGAAGAGTAAGCGATTTTAAGCTGTAGATTATCAAAACACGTAGGCTCTTTTAATGACTGCAGTTGTCAAGTGTAGTTGTTTATCATCTAAAGGGCACAAAAGAAACAAGTATTAGAATTTAGAATTTCAGGAGAAACTCAAGCTGAAGCTAAATACAGCTGCCTTGGCAGTTACTTTTCTCTGTTGGAACCTTCCCTGCTAGCCTGCCCCTGTTGTAGGAGAGTTTTTTTTGCAGAGTTGCCAGATTCATGACATATTGAAACATTGTGAATAGCGTTAACTGCTCCCTCCTATAAAGTTCCACACATTTTTTCTCACTGAAAACAAACATGTCTTACATTGTTTTTAAGCAGAAGATGTCATTAAATAGTTCTTCTGGGCATTCTAGTTATTAGTAGCTAATAACCAGTAGATTTATTGCTGTTCTGGTGCTATTGGAGTTACTCTGATAAATAGCACATCCTCTGTTTGTGGACAGCTACAGAAACCACAGATGATCAATAGCATTTCATTCCTTGCCAAACTCTCTGGAAAGAAATGAGGACCTTGAGCGGGGACTCTTTTCAGCTTTTTATTTCAGAGAGAGGAACATTGTTCATTTAAA